GTTATGGTTGGGGGGTCACCATCACATGAGGAACTGTAGGAAAGGGTCACAGCATTAGGAAGGTTGAGAACCACTGGTAAGCACTTAACCCAGCACTCTGCCTTCGCAAGGCAGAAATTGGGATGGCTTAGGTAGTGAGCACAGAGGGAGGGGCAAGAGGTGAAGCTACAGTCACCACGAGATCCTGAGTCTAGAGGCCTCAGAGCAGGTTAGGGTGTTCACCTTTTACTCCACAGCCGTGTGACGCCACTGAACACCTGCCTTGGAGCGCCTGCAAAGGCTGCCTTTTCCCCGACCTTAGACCCCGGCTCACAGTGAGGAGGGATGCCGGAGCACTCGGAACTTATACCGTCTCACTGTCTGTTAGCGACACTGCACTGGTTAGAGACATGGATGGAGCTAGCCATGCCATGATGCCGAAGCGCTCGGCCCAGCACCAGGAAGCGGGTTCCGAGCACAAGACTGGCAGCCAGATTGCCCGGGTAGGAGCCACGCTCTGCATCCCCAGGTTACTGGACCAACGACTCAGCCCTCTGGGGCTCCCTTCTGCATCTGAACAATGGTGGTGAAGTTCAAGACGTGCTGTCTAGTCCAGGGTTGGCTAGCGGACGGACGGACCACAGGTGACCAGGTAAAGAGGCCTCACGGGGAGTCCTAGAGGCAGCGCGTTCTTTGGAGGGTGTTAAGCCCCAAGATGTGAAGAATGTTCAAGGAAGTGCACAGCGCGGGGCAAGTGCCCCCACCAGGAGGCAGACACGGCACCTCCACACCCACCTGTCCCCGAACCACAGCCCCGTGGGCTCAGCTCAGGAACCAACTTACTCAGCAAAGTGAGCCACAGTGCCTGGGGCTGCTCAGGTGCTTCTCAGTGACCTGCTGGCTGTGGCTCTACCACAGCTGAGAGCATGCAGCTCAGGGCATCATGAAGGCTCCTGATGCTGACAGTGGTACAAGGTCAGCTCAGAGTTCATCCAGCACGTTGCAGCTTCTCCACAGTGCCTACAAGACCCCAGGGTCCTAACGATGGGAGAGGGGCGGGGTACGCAGGCCCAGGAACACAGTGACGCCACCTTCTCTGACCCTATAGGGCTCTGCTATGACAGCCCAGAGCCTCAGGGACAAACACAGGTGAGCAGCAGCATGAAGGAAACACAAACCCACGCAGGCAAAGGTCCTTTCCTCCTGACCAAGGCCAAGGACTCCATCGACACAGTGTGGCCCCGTACTTTTGTCTCAGTGCAGTCTTCCCACCAGCAAGTCCCAAGTTGAGATCAGCCCCCCTTAACACATGCTGCTTGAACTTCTTCCTCGGGTTCTCTCTCAGCAGGCCCTCCGTGGCCACCTCAGTCAGCTAAAGGGACTCACACTTTCCCAGGCCCTCGAGAGCCCCCATCCTGGGAATCATGATCTGAATCACCCCAAGGCAGGAGATCGTTCTCCAGTGTGTCTTTCAGTGGCATGTGGAAGTAAGTCAGAACAGGTGCAGATGCTTGATTTAGCATTACTTTAGCTGCACGTGAAACTGCACAAACAGCAAGGGAAGATGAGTGTGGAGAATGTGTGAGGAAGGGTCGATCCCCAAGTTTCAAAGGGAAGTCCAATGTAAGCCGGGCGTCAGTAAGCCAGGGACAGCCTGTACTAGCTCTCCCATTGCCCAGTAAGCTCCACGTAGCAGGTGCTGGGGAAGCAGGCAGGTGAATGACCTGGGCCCTTCAGTGTCTCATTGATGTCCCTGTGAGGTATGGAGCTCAGGGTTAGCCCATGGACCCCGAGTCCAAGCCTGGCCTCCGAGTCCAAGCCTGGCCTTCAGATTTGAAGTCCATGCTCCTGCTAGCGCCCCAGCCAGGCCTCTGTGGGCACCTAGGTAGGCTACAGTGCCTATGCTATGCCAGGCCCTGGGATGCAGGCAGCAGGGGAAGGACGAGAAGGGGAGGAAGGGATAGGGTCAAGACAACTAAATCCTGTCCTCAGTGCTTGTGAAAGAAGCTAGGACCCAAAGGAGTGTGCTCTTTAAACAAAACACTAAAAACAATGCACTGGGACCCAGAAGAAGGTACTCTTAGACAACCCTGCCAAATGAGGACCCGCTGCACCCGCCATCCTCCTGCCTCTGGTCCCGGGGACCATTGTTTGAGAGCCATTCAAAACAGAGGGATGGGGCCCAGCCTCCTAAACAGGGCTGTGATTTCTCTCTAAGAAAGGCTCACCCTCGAGCCTAAGGCATCGGAGCTTTACAAAGTCCGCCACCATCCGTCAGCACCTCCGTTCAGCTCCCGCTGCCCTCTGAGAGAACCACAGCCCCCAGCCTCATCTGCTGCTGGCAAACACTAAGAAAGGGCACCATCCAGCCCAGCTGGTGCTCCAACTCCCAGCACATCTCAAGATGAAGGAAGAGACACTCGTCTAAAACAGAGCGCTGAACCAATGTCGGCAGGTGAGGAAAGACAGGAATTGAATGCTGAGGGATGATGAAGGAAAGGAAGGGGAGCCGGAAAAGGGCAGTTCCTAGGGTCCCCTCTGTGCTAAGCACGGGACTTGTCACTTGCACAGCTCATCCCATGAGCCTCTGGGATGGTGCAGCGCACCAGCAAGCTGCCCACGGTGGCAGAGCCTGGAAGGACCAGAGCTGAGTTTGGAGCAAGGCTTTGTGTTGCCGGGCTCACTCACTGATTTACACACAGACCCCACAGATGTGAAGGGTCCAGGTCCAGACCACTACAATCAAAATCGAGTATCTCAATAAAATGAGGCACAGGAAGGGTATGGTTTCCCATTGGGTATAAAGGTTTATGTTTTTTGCCACACTGTCATCTATTAAGGAGCCCTGGTGGCGTGGTGGTTACACATTGGGCTGCGATCCGCAAGGTCGGCAGTTCGAACCCACCAAAGGCTTCGTGGCAGATAGACGGGGCTTTCTACTCCCACAGTTACGGTCTCAGAAATTCACAGGGGTAGTTCTAGCCTGTCCTATAGCTATGAGCCAGCATCAACTCGATGGCAGTGAGTTTGGTCTGGGTTTTTATTAAGCGCGCAAGAGCATAGCATTGTGAGAATGACCCAAATGTGACCGGGAGTCAGGAGGCGAGCACATAACTGTTGGTGCCAATAGACTTGCTTTACACTGGGTTGCCACAGACCTTCAAAAGGTAAAAGATGCTGTCTCTTTAGGGTGCAATAAAACAAGGTATACCTGTGTTGTTACAATCAGTACCATGTAGCAAGGGATCAGAATGCCAGGGCCCTCTGCTACCTACTCTAGGAAATTCACTTCCATTCACATTTAGATGGAGGAGGGGACAGTGGGGCAGACAGGCCATGCCCCTCATGCCAAGTCACAGGCTCGAAGAAGCAGAATGAACTCTTCAACTGCCTGTTCTGCTTCAGCCCGGCAGCGCTGCTGCATCTGGGGGGCCGCTCTACCAGACGGGCTCTGCTGTGGGGGAATGCTCTATGGCACGCCAAATGCGGCCAAGTGTTAAAAAGCCCTATAGTAGCAAAATTCACAGCTTCCCACACAGACTGGGGCTGGAAGAGCCACAAATCTGTCTATGATGTAAGCACACAGGCCAAGGGAAGAGGCTGGCCCGAGAACGGCCAGTGGGGGAGCAGCTGACATCATTCCTGCTGAACATATTTTCTGAAAACACAGCCTGCCTTGTAGCTGGTCAGAGCTGGTGCCTTTTCTGCGCAGAGGCAGCAATTTGTTCCCAGCACTCTGCAAGAACAACAAAACATACTCTCTGCAAAAAAAGCAGACCAAGACAGCCCAGTGACAGAAGCTGTTAATTTCTCCAAGCAACCCAGAGATTGGAACGCCAAGGTGTGCCAGTCTGACAGCATGCGTGCGCGCACACACACACACACACACACACAGCACTATGAACATTCCTAATCCAGCATCAGGCGGGTGCCCAGAACCCTGGTGGCCACCTCCTGTGTCGGCAATCTGGACCCTGTTGAATAGCAGCAGGTCAAGGAAGAGGCTGAGATATTGCATAGCCTAGGAGGGAGGGGGTGGGGTGGCTTCTATGGGACTGATATTTTAAAGCCCTCAGAACAGAGATGTGCCTGTTTCCACTGAATTGCATGAAAAATGACTTGGCTTGATCTCAGTAAGCCCATTCAAGCCGTCCAGGTTCCTCAAGCAGCATCTGAAGCCTTCGTCCTTGCTCCCCGCACAGAGGATGCTGTCTTGGTGGCAGAACTGTCCCAAACCAGGCAGCTCGGAAGTCCCCTCTGCCTCCGAACATCAGACCCTCTGTGCCCCACGGCTGGGCACACACGTCCAGGGCACCTTCCACTACTTGCAGGACGCCAGCGGGTCCAGGGTGAGCCGCTCCAGGGCCCTTCCAGACCTCGGAAAACAACCTCCGCGGAGCCGAGAGCCGCCTCGGCTCCCCTCGTGGCGGCTCCCCTGAAGGGGGTTCTGAAGGAAAAAAGCGGTTTCCCTGCAAGGGCAGAAACTGCTGGCGGCTGCCCAGCTTGGGTTCATGCCCATGGCCTCGGAGGGCACGATCGCCAAGCCAGCTTGTGAATCAAGTAACAGCAGCTACCTTTACTGGCGGCCAGGTACCGCGTTTTCACCTGCATTTCCCCATTTCACCTCCGCTCCGACCCCAGAAGGTAGAATCACCTCTAAGTGACAGATGAGGCAGCCAAGGATCGTAAGATGAAGCGACTTGTCCAAGGTCACACGGTGAGCACAAACCCAGGTCGGCCCCAGCGCCTCCGAGAGGGGCCACAGTGCGGTCGCTGCCTCACGCTGGAATCGGGGTGTCCTCCTCCTGGGCGCCTCGATCCAGAAGGAGTGGCCCTCCCGGTCTGCCCTGAGCCACCCTCGGCCGTCCCCGGTGCCGGCGAGACAGCCCCCCGGAGGAAGGGGACCGCTAAGGGCCGCTGGGGGGCCCCGAAGGCGCCGAGAGAGCGGAGCTGCCACACGCCCCCTCCAGCCGCTGGGACCCCGCTCCCGAGCCCGCCCAGCCCGGTCGCGCCGGGCACCCCCAGGCCGGGAAAGCCCCGGAGGGAG